CTATCGTAAGACTTATTCCATATTATATTTTCTATGACGATAATGACTGTTCTATAAAGGTATAGGATCAAGTAAAATTGAATACAATGCAACGGCGACCCTTCATCGCTAAAGGGACTCTTTATAAAACACCTAAAAAATATATGGCGATGAAACGTTTACAAGAGATTTTACATCTAATTTGACTGAGCCAGCCAGATGTCTGACGTGACCATGCTTGTCCGATATTGCAGGATAATTGTTAATGGGTAAAAATATCGTAATGCGATCAAGCGATATTCTTTTAAGCTTTATTCGAGTAGTAAAAGCCCGTCTGCTTAATGAACATGTACTCGGATCACTATATATAATACACGTAATTTTGCGAAGGGGTTTTCGCCCATGTTCTTTTAGTAGGAAAACATACAGCCTCTGCTCATTTAAGGACCTGACTTTTTGGCTTACATTTGTAAAACCAAATCCACATTTATACTTTTTGACTGTTTTTTTTAAAGACAATGCATTCATATTTGTTAAAAAATGCGTAGTTTAATTAAATTCCATATTGTGGTAACGAATTATTTATGTCTTGGGTGACATTGATTTTAAATAAGGACAACACTCGCTGAACAGCTATCGTATTTAGTCACCAGTAATGTTTATTTATGAAAATTATATTTTTGTCATCTTCCGAGATTCAAGGCAGTCCTATAATAGATTGCCAACAGCTATACTCGTTGACATTGATAATACTAACATAAGTTCTACATTAAAACTTCTTGCCTGTCAGGAGTTTCAAAGACAGCTTGTCCTAAAAGGTACAAAATTACAATACTTAAACTAACGCGTTCAAACCCGGAATGCCGGATTTAGCGAAAAATTATATAATTCCACCAGGATTAGTACTTAAAAGTCATATTATCCATTAATACGTAACTAAATATTTTCGCTATCAATATAAGCATAATTCGCATATTAGGCCCGTTTAGTTTGATACTAGTTCTTGTGACTTGCAAAACCTGTTTTCCTGCATGAATTTTAATTTTTTTGTCGCACACATTTCTTAAGTTAGGTTATGTTGGTAGAGTCACATGTTATTTTAATTTTGGCTATTTGTGGACCAAACCTACTTTCTGATCCAATCATCAAATCAAACAAGAATCATGTAAGAATCGTTGCTAAATATGTAGAGTGTAACTAGTAATTTAGTGACAAAGTTAAAAGTACCTAGGAAATTTTTAATTAACTTTTTATTCTTACTAGGAAAACGCGATAAGTAAAAAATAATCACGGAGATAAGAAAAATAATAGTCTATATAGCGATTGGCACCAGCAATATTGGTGGTGATTTTTTTGTTTCCTATGGTATTGAAAAAATACGCCGTATAAATTAATATTTATATTTCCAAAGTTACATCAGTTTAAACTAAAAGTTCCTAGCTGAACACAAGACTGGCCAACAAAACATTTCCGTAGGTATTCTTGTAAATATTGTTTTTTTGTATATGATTTGACAATCAACTAATAAAAGAGAAAATGTTTGGTCGTAAAGGGATTCTTCTATTTATCGGAATTTTTGCGTAGAATTTTTTTTCATTTCGCGTCAGCGTTATTAATTAAAAAATGTATTAATATTATGCATATGAGTTTTTATAACTTACCTCACACTTTTAATGAGTCACTGCACACTGCACAGGTTCAGGGTGAAACAAACACAAAACTAAACACGATATCAAACAATACAAACTTTGTAAACACCGATGCCACACGCGGTCGAGATATATAAAAAATAAGCTAAAGTAAGAACCAACTATTAAAGAACAACTAATATATTACAAAGTATAACGTGAAAACACAGTTTCTTATTGGTAAGTTGTAAACTATAACTTGTTAGTTAGGAAACTCGATTTTGTTTATATTATTATCACGACTAGTAGAGATAAAAACATGAACGCTTTACTCCGTATGCACGATAACTGAAATGAACGGCGAACGTCGAACCGAGAACCGTTATGAACCTTCAAACTTCAATATAGAACAGCGACCGGTGAAGTGCTCATTGTGAACTGTGATTTGTGAGCTAAAGAGTGAGTTGTGTTCATTGTTAGTAATATCGTCACAGATTATATTACATTGATCATTGCTGACAGCAATGAGCATATTATAAGTTGTTAAGCTAAGGCACGTGGCCTGTTAAAAATATAGATGTAATATTTATATGAATTATGAACTAATTTGAATAACAGTAACAAGTATATATATTATAAGAATTGCGAGCAAAAGATGTCTTTCTCCTTTCTTTTCGTTCACACACTTTTTGAAAATGTACAGTATGTATGTAAATACCACAAATAATGACGGCATAATGAATAAATAGAAACAAGAAAAGAAAATATGGTCGAGGTCACCAATATCTTCTCCAGACTCGCAAATATTACTTTATCAACAATAGGAAGAAATATTATCAATTTTCATGCCGACAATATTAATGGCATCATAAGAGATTAATGAAGAAAACACTATTACACAAAAATTTATTGAGTTTCTGACAAGTAATGCTACGCCACCATGGCCATCAAATCTATCATCTCGCAAGCAGGTATATCCAGGGATCCTAAATAGGTACCCTGGCTTCAACCACGTCTCAGATAACGCGACAACAACAGGAGAATATTTATTTATCAAATATATTTAATAATGTTTCTTTGGAACAACACTCTTGCAATTCCATTGAATTATCTTGCAATCCATTACTTTTAATAACATTAATTGATTTAACTTTTTCATAAATAGAGGCAACGTGGGACGGTTTCAGTAAGTTAGAGTTTATTAAATTAGTTAATAATGCTAGTATTATTTCTAAGACATCAGATTTTTCTTCCTCTTTATATTTGTGACCAACCAGAGCACTGCCATTTTTAGGCTCTGGAACTTGGAAGTCTTTTAATACATTATTATGAGCAACACGATCATAACCGAACATAACAGTTTTAAGAATACTGTCTTTTATATGAGGGATTAGTATAATTATTTCAAGATACAGATTTCGCTGCGAAAGAATATGCGGGTTTTGGAACTTCCGGAATTGTTGAACTTAATGCATCTGTGTTTGAAGGCTTAACAGAAGGAAAATATTTACTGGCTTCGACAAAAGACATGCAGCTCTGAGCCATTTTAACTTCGATTTCTGTCTATCTCACAAATTCTAGACATGACTTATCTATCCCTGAATGGGACCCTTCGACTTCACACATTACACAGTACAGAGGATCTTCATCTGACCTGTCACTTGATACACCTGCATGTTAACCTCCACAGATATAACATATTGGAGTCTTAGAACGACATTGAACTTTGGTATGGCCATAACGACAGCATTTATAGCATTGTATCGTAGGATAAATATAATATATCTCTACTGGAACAGCATTATAGCACGTGGAAATCCTTTTTGGTAAAACTTGCCTATTGATAACACATAACTGATTCAGAGTGTTTCCAAGAAACCGAGTCATTAATTTAAACCTTGCTATTCAAACGTTTTATTTTAAGTATTTTGCCGCAGCCTATAGGTACGGATACGTTTTGTTGAACTTCCTCTACACTACAATCTACAGGGACCCCGCGAACTAGAACCATTCTTGTTACGCTGAAAGTGGGAATGAACGCTTTTAACTTTTTCGTTTCCAAAAGATTGCAGTGAAGAAAATTATTGGCGTCGTTATAATTGGAAAAGCCAACTACGCACGTGTTTCTTCCTATACGTTTTACACTTCCGGGAATAATATTATTAAATTTTTTCTGCTTTAAAAAATTGCCAAATGTTATAGGATGGAGAATGGTCCCGTCGTCAGGTGAACTTTGTATACGTTGAACATGTATTAAATAAGGGGAAACATCAGTAGTATGTTTCAGTACGGCCAATCGAACGGGAGTCCGTATTGGTTACTGTAGCTTTGGTGTTGTTTGAATTTCCCGCGTTAGACTCTTGAGAGATATTTGAATTTTCCATGTAAGATGTTGATGGTTGAGAGGATATGTTATGTCAATTATTATTATTTTGCGAGTGTGGAGATGACGTGGATTGAGATATAGGTTTATAGGAAGTAACCTTTTCGATTAAAATTGACTCATCTTCTACATTGCATAAGCTTTCGCACTGACAGTAATCACCGCTGGAACCACTACCTTTCTTTTTCTTAATTTTCGTACACTGCCGACAAAGGCGCAAATAACGTGTTCATTTACGACTTCCTTCACCTGTCTGAGATGATAACGAACAATCCGTATCCATTTTGTCAAATTCATCTTGTGAACCAACAGATACGTATGATCCCATAGGGAGATTCACGCCAACATGGCTATCATCGGGCTCGTTCATACAATATTTACAGAAATTACAAAAACTTACCGCCTATACGATGACACTATACGGTATATATTTTTGTAACCTGTTTTTTTATTTTTGTTATGTGTATGTTTTTGATTAAGGTAATAAAGTATAAATAAATAAATAAATATACAAATATGATATAACGATTACATATAATACAAAAATTAAAACTACTAGCTTATCCTCTGCGTTTTAACTAGTAAAATTAAATTAAATTTTCACCACCGTGAAAAAAACGTCTACCATGAACGAAGTTTCCCGCGCTTTTTTCACAAAATATTTCTTTGTTTAGTTTTATGTGACTTTTTCGTGATTATTTAAACCTGTGTACTTGAATTAATAATTATTCCTCATCTGTATAAGAGGCGCTATGTCATATGTCAATAACATATGACATATTGTCTAGTATGTCAATTGACATTGTTGTTGCAAGTTGTACTTGTTTATGAACTAGGATTTATTTCAATTTCAACTAACGGTCAAAGCAATCTTAAATCGTTTTAGTTTGTTCTAACTTGAAAATTGGAATATTAAAATAGCATAACGTACGCATTGATTTCTATAATATTGTAACGGTTTATACTATCTTATAAAGATTTGATGTGTTTGTAGCGTCATATCAAAGAAAATGATAAAAACTAAAAAATGGTCTGGTGGAACTGAAGAGGAGTATGAAACCCAGCACTTTGGTTTTGGGTCTCAACGACTGAAAATAGCGGTTCGACAAATGGTAGAAGATAAGATACGCGCATCTGTTACAAAGGCTTTTTATGGTGTTCACAATACTTTGGGATTAAACGAAACTGATGAAGTTTTATTAGCCCATACACGCGAGAAACTTATTCGTCTGTATTGTGATAAAGCTAGCGCAGCATTGATTGTGATTGATACTGAAATTGAAAAAATGCTTAAGATACCGCCAAATGTACTTTTACCAGAAGATGACGAACAGTCCAAGCAGATTTCTGAAACAGAGTATAACTCATTGAATGAAGAAGTAAATAATCTCAAGAAGAAAGTGCTGCGGGGTGCATTAATGGAATCTTGGTTATCTAAAGAAGATAAAGAGTTATCGTCAATTGAAGATGTTTTAGAAATTACAAAAAAAAGATATGGAAGTTGTTGACGTGATGCAAAGGAATTTAGAACGTCCAGATGTAGTTAAAGCTATGATCAACAAAGTTCAATTTTTAAGTGCAAGATTGCCATTTATTGAAATTGATGATAAATTGTATAAAGATTAGGGTAAGTGAATTATAACAATAATTAGTAAATAATATAAGTAAAAAAAAAATTAAAATAAAGACTTAGTTTTAGTAGTAGTACCTATTGAAGCAGAAACGGAAAGATTTGATAGTGAAAGACTAATATGAGTGAAAGACTAATATGAGTGAAAAACTCCAATATGATTTTGTTATGTGGATGTAACGCTAAGAGCTTAGTCATGACTTAATCTTACCCTATATTGATACTAAAAATTGCTATGAATGTAAAAGCTTGAAAATATTTATTTTTAAATTGTTACAATAACCATGCTCCTATACCCAATGTTATGTGTTTAAATATTGTTATGTGTGCTAATAAGGTAGGTTAATTCAAATATTTATTTTGTCTCTAGCTGTAAAATCAGTACATTCTCAATAAATATTTACAATCTGTATTGTTTATAGTTTTTATATCATGCTATCTGTACATACTAACACTTCTGGTAAGTTATGCATAGGTATTGGTATCATAAAAACATAATAACAGGTACTTTTTATTTTTTGTAAAAACACATCTTACATCATCTATAACTGAGAACAACAACATTTATTTCATTCTATTACACAAACTTATTTAACATTTATGAGTTCCTCTATAAAATATATTTTCATAAATGAAAACATAGTCTAAAAGGTTTATATAGCTTGGCACAATTACTATCTGCAAGTAAAGTCAAAAGTGTAAATCAATTGTTAACATACTATCTACCAATATCATTAGTTCTTATTAAAAATTACCAAATACAATTTGTATGTATTGTAACATTTCACAACATAATTTTATATCAACATCAAAGTACCATCAGCATATTACAAAATTTAAAATGAATAATTAGTAATGCACATACACTGCCTAATTTTGTCTATAATAATAAAAACATTCATAAACTTAATCATCAATCATTTCCATTTTATAAATTATTGGGCAATTCAACAGTTTGGTCTAATGGTTAATGGTTTGTGGACTCATTCTCCGCACTTAGACGCTCACTAGGTCCATTGTACGTAAGTCCTGGCTAACTAAGCCAGCCTAACTCCTTCCAAAAGCACAGAACCTTCCTGGGCACTTCGCAGGCTTCACGGAGCAACCTCACCGTTCCAATGATTCAGTTTGGTCTAATTTGTAGTCATAAATATTAAAACCATATTTAAATCCCAAATTGTATCTGGCATTGGATCTAATCCTAATAAAAACTATTTATATCACATTTATGTCTTACAATTCTATGAAAAAGTAACATTTACAAAAATAATGAGCATTGATGCTGAATTTACTAAGACATCAACTAACACTTAGGTTACAACAACATGACAAGCATGACCATATAAGGAATGTTTATTGAGCCTGTATGGCCAATTTAAATAACTAGCTTACATTACAATTGTCACATAAAAGTATACTGCTAGCTAATTTACAAATAGACATGAAAAAGCTAAAATGTTCTGCGTAACATAGAAAATTATTTTCATTTAAAGGTGTTATTTCTGTCTTGTAGAACATTATTGAAACAACGATTTGAAATTTTGTGTTTACAAAAATATATTTTTGTAAGAATAATCTGTTTTATTGACTCTTTCAAATGTAAGAAAATTGACATTTTGTACCATAATATATTACAACATACTTAAAGATGCATCCACTCAATTTAAGAAGAGTTTTCCTCTTTATTGTATTTACTTTTCCTGCAATAGTAGTGAGTAGCAATTATATAGCTTAATATTTAGCGTTTAAGTTTTTTTATTGAGATTCATAAGTGTCTATTGTGTTTCATGAAGAAATGTTATTTTGTCCGTATTCCTCTCTGATATGGAACATAGAATGTAATAGCTATATGAGTTTGTCTTTTGGCACATGACATATTGAGTGGATATAATTTACTATACAGTGCAAAGTAAAGATATCTTTTAATATGTATATACATTTTAGAACGCATTCTTTTTAGACATATTATTTACATAAACATGTACATCTCTTATAGAGGTTAAACTTTAACCAAAATATTTAATACAGTAAATAGAATTTATTGTCTAGATGACAACACTCATGGTCTGAAAATTTATATATCTCAGATCTGACAGGATCTGATGGTGTGATATTCTAGATTATAAAAGCATTACTAACAAATTAAAGCAACAGCATTTGCTGTATATTCTTATGCTTTGATTATATTTATATATATATATATATATATATTATATACATTTATATTGTGAAAGTAAAAATACATGAAACAATGTATTTGTAAAGTAGTTATACTTGAAAAATACCAATAGTTTTGATATGCTATTTGGCTAAAACTAAGTTCATACCTTCACAATCAAAACAATAGCAATAAGAAAAATATGCAGCCTTTTTGACTTTATCTATATAAAATATTTACATCTAACTTATATAACTACTGGCAACTTTAATGACTAGATTTTTTATTGGTGAGATAAAAATAAGTGGTGGTTTGAGTATTTTTAAGTATAGCAAAATATTTTTTTGGTAACAATATTAATAGGTATTTTGAATAGTCACCTATTTTTTGTTTAGCTTCTTTGGTTCTTGTTACAATTTCATTAGTGGATTCTGATAAACCTATATGTAGCTGGACGATGTTTGGGTATTTATAACATATGGTCTTCAAAAACTTTGGTTTGTATTAATACATGCTTGGGGCATAAAAACATACATTTTTGTGACGAAGTCAACTTCATTAAGGTAGCTGCTACTGAAATCCTGGGATTAATAAATAACAACCAGTTAAACTCAATAATTAAATCAGATTTCGTAGTTATTTAAACCTTAAAGTCAGTTATTTTGCAAGCAATCTGCCAGACAAGGAAGACCTGTCTAGAAATATTTCTGATCTAAGTCTAATTCATAAGTTAAATATAATTATACAAAAGCAGGCGGTCTAGTGTCTACAGCTGTAAGTACGCGTTTCGCAGCCGGACCAGGCCAACACCAGCCATCACTCAGCGCCACCAGTCAAACTGGTCCCCACTCCGTGTTCTCCTGAATTAAAAAAAAATATAATAATAACTTAAATTAAACTTTTTAGACGGATATCAACACGAATTGCACCTTAATTACACAACTGAACTTTTCGAGAGTTTTAGGTTCTATTCTATAATGATATTGTTATGACATAGTTAGCTGTCAACAGTCTGTGTGACAGTCTCTCTGTTCTCGCTCACCACTATATTTGAATAGCACTCTAAACATAGTTTTGTGTAAATAATGTAATAAGTTCGCGTTTACATCCGTTAAAGAATATATTTAAATGCCTAGTACTAGCTTAAACCAAATACATTATTATATCAATCTATCGAGAAAGTCAAACTACCCAGATATAACACAAACACACGCAGGCTTATAACAACACTCAAATACAGATTATACGCACGCACACCTATTCTCATATTTCACATTCACGCAAACTTAGGTCTTATATGAATTTTGTTTGATTAGATATAACACGAAGACTACTTCAATTGTTTTACACCATGTACCACGGAATAATTGGCTCCGTGTAGGGAGCCAATTATTAATCTTAATAATCTTTGTTAATCTTAATAATCTTTGTTAATCTTAATAATCTTTGTTAACCTTAATCTTTGTTTCGAAGCCATAACAAACCGTATTTAGTAAATAATGCTTATTTTTGATTTAATCTATATTAGTATTTGGACTCAACATTTGTATTTCTTAAATAATAACCAACTGTCACAAGCCGATAGCCTTTTACTGTATATTATTAAAAATAATTGCTAAAATTACTTGTGAAATATTGAGTGTCTTCGAGTGCATAGGACTCTGAGGCATGGTAGTCGCGTTGGCGCTGAAGTATCCTCCGGGCTTTGGCCGCAAGTGGCGATTGTGCATTTCCATTTGAACTATCTTCATGAATTCGATTTGGGCGGCTAACTTCTGAACCTCCTCCTGAAATTAAGTTATTATTATTCCGTAGATTAGATAACTCAAAATTAAATATTTATATAAGTTATGTCACTACAAAATTGCTTCTAAACTTTTGAAACCAAAATTGTTGAAAAAGATTTTTGTTCGTTTCACACTTGTTTAGTTATACAAATACTTTTCCTAGATATTCGAAACTTAATAAATGTTTTTATCTGTAGTATTTATTTAGTAGGTCATAGTTTTATGAGGTTTGTTGCTAAAATTATAAATTGTCAGATGAGTATTTTTAGAGTACTTTAGGTTCGAGGTCATAAGTCTTTCTTTACCTTTAACTGTTCATTCTCCTGGTAAAGATCGGGCGGCTCATCTGGTACTAGTCCGATCCCGTTCAGCGAAGATGAGGCAGGCACGCCACGTGCTCGAGCTCGGCTATCCCATGTATCTCCTGTACCGCGTACAACGCGTAAAACCTTCAAATAATATAGTATTTTATGTTCGCAATAATGGTAATAAAGACAATTTAAATAATGCACAACAAAATATGTTTCTTTTACATCCGCAAATGTTTGTTATTTCTTAATGAAAGTTGTTAGCTGTTAGTGTAAAAAATATTTGAAATAATAGTAATGCAAGAAAGAGTATTACATGGACATAGGCAAAATATACAGGTTGAAATGATGTTCAGGATTTTTGACTCAGTTGAAAGCAGTTCCACTACACAGTCAAGTCGCACATATTTAAACATCTTGAAGTCTACGAATAAACGTCTTGTTGATAGTCGATAATTCGAAATAGATTATGAATGATAGCTCAAATAATTAAAACTATATTATTACGGTTATAATAATCTCTCTTTCGAATATTTTGGAAACAAATTTTTTTAGGAATGGAGAAAATAAATAGTTTACCTTAGGTAAAAATACCAATAGGACGGTAGTTGATGTGGAGAGTTGGGTTCTTATGAAACCCAGTAAGTACTTTATGTCTGGACCGGCTCGGGGTAAAATTAACAGGCTGAAAAAGTATTTTATTTATTTATACACTTTGGGATTTCTTGGTGACAGGTTAATTCGGCCAACCGTTTCGCTTCCCGGTACATGCTCTCTATGCATAAAGCCATACAGATTTATAAATTGTGCTTCGTATAAAGTCCTTTGTGATACTAAACGATTGTAAGATTGTGATATAAAAACTTCCTTAGATTTAAAAAGTCTTTATTTTAAACTAAATTTAAACAGTAAACGAAATTCTAACAATACACTCTGTTAAATTATTACTGTCTTAGGTATTATGTTTAATTTTATAAAAAAATACTTACTGAAAAGCAATCATTAAAGAATTGACTGTGAAGATATTGTAAATGGCTATAGAGATTAATCTAGCCTCGTTGTATAGACTTTCAGCGTGACGTACACGATAGCACACACGTACACCCCATAACAAGAACAGAATCTCACCTAAAATAAATACTTTAAATTAATTATTAGTTTAGGGTATTTATTATTTTTCAAATAATATTTAATAGTACATATTCAACATAATCCAAAAATACATCCGATTATGATGCCTTTTTTAGACTAGTAATTTTTTTCTGGGAGACCATTTTTTTATAACCTTTACTAAGATTATACATAGGATTAATTTTAAAAAGTTCTAAGTTCGTATACATATGTGGTTCTTATTGAAGGTCGATTGCAATTAACTAGTGCAGATAGCATGATCACGTTGGGTAAAATTTAAAATCAATCAAGAACCGAAATCTTGAATGCAACGCTATTTTTATTTATTTATATAAATATTGTCTTTTATTAAAACGTGTGCGTCATAGAATTTTATAAATCATCTTAGTATTGTGTATTATGTATACCTACGTGAAATAAATTGAATAATTCAATTACAGGCAAATAGATAAATATAATTTTAAAACAACGATGTTGTTTACATTCATTTCAAGCTAAACATGAATTTATAACATTATTAAAGTATAACGTTTCGAAAACGTTTTTTTAATAGAAAAACACTTTTTTAACGGATTTGAAGTTATGTTTTATTATAAATTTACATAATTTTTAATTTAACCGACGTTTCGCGTGCTTCACAGCGTGCGTGGTCACGGTGACTGAAGACAAAAGGTGTTGAATGTCAAAAAGTATCACAGCTGTAGAAAATAAGTTTTTTTAATAATAAATTTTACGAAATTAAGTAAAAGTTTAGTTTTTTTACCAATTGCCAAACTGTGATCCCACCAGTTATATGTACATTGTTTGAATTTAAGTCCTCGGTTGTCAGTTATCTGGAAATAAAATTTCATTATTAAAAACACGCAAAAATAACTCAGTTTTTATTATTTACTTTTTAACCTACATGTTACATTTTACTATGATTTATGTTAAATTTTGCATGTGCCTTTTCATGTGCTTTACAAACATTTGCCAATAAATACAATATTAAAAGGGATATATAATCAGTAAAAATTAGGCAGGACTTCATTTTAAAAATAGTATTAGGATTTTAAACTTATCAAAATATCTCTGCAGGATTCTAATAACTGTATTTTTTAAAGAATATTCACTCTAGCGAAGTCTAAGTCGTTATATATAAGATAGCTAATTGTAGTTTTAAAATTATAGAGAAACATATCTCTGGAAACACGCCGTGGAAAAAGACCTACGCTGTACGCAGGGTCAAAGTGCCCGATTGACAAGCGGTCTCTAGTTTTGGAGGCCAAGGCCCACTTTGGGTCGTTATCCTAGTGGAGTAAGTAAGAGCAGCCTAGTGATTAAATTAACAGTGTGGTTCTCCCAGTCGTGAATTTAAATCCAGACAGGAACTTTTTCTTTCTATATGAACACTTGCTTTGAGGTCGTGTCGTGTCAGTTAACAAAAACATTTAAGCGATCTAGCCGGTTTTAGAACTAAATCTAACGGCCTGGCCACGGGGATCGGCGGTGCGAACGGCGAAGCGGGAGGCGAGGCGACCATTCACGCGGCGCCGTTTGCAGGCCACGCACCAGTCACGTTCGCCGCCGCGAACAGTAAGGAAGTTCGACAGCGAAATGTCTTTATCGAAATTGTCTCGATATTGCTTGGAAAGTAATAGCATTTGGTTCAAGACCTAATATTTGGAAGAGATTCTGGAGTACATGATTTAAATAAGAATCGAGGTATAGTTGGAGAATTCCACAAGAAGTACGAGAAATACAGAATATACCTTCGATTATATTCTTATGAATATTCAACCAGAATTGGAAGAAAGATAATGCAAATAGAATTTTAAGTGCCGCTGAAAAATTGTTTTTGACATTAAGGTATATTAAATTTATGCTGTGGATGGCCAGACTTCCAAATAGCTGGTCTTACCAGTATTTCAGTAATAAAAAACTCTGTATTCATTTTTCGCCGCGAAAACGACTAAACTTATTTAATCCCTGCTCTATTCGCCGCGACTGCCGCTCGACTCCGTGGCTTGCGCCGTACTGATTCATGCATTTGTTTCGCTCGCCCGTCGCGACGCCAGTCGCCCGCGCGATTCGCTCGGTACATTTCGCCGGTCGCATCGCCGGTCGCCGTTGCGCGTGGCTTGATTAGTACATTGCTATGAGTTTATTTCAGTCGCTAGACGCATCGCCGTTCGCACCGCGCGAATATTCGCATCGGCGAATGTCCCGTGGCCAGGCTGTAAGACGTTTGTCACTGGGATTTTAAAAGGTTTAAACGGAACTGAATTGTAATATACCACTTGTTATACATACCACTTCAGCATCGGGCGGCGCAGACAGAGTCCATGTGCCGAGGTAGACCAGCATGATCAGGAGTATTGGAGCCATCCATTGGAGAAGCTGCTTGTCTGTTAATTTTAGCTTATGCGCTGACTTTACGCGATACGTTAGAGAGACCCTGTAAAAGTCGACATATATATTGTTTCGATTAGTATAAATAATATCATAATAAGTATTGTGTGTAAAATGATGGCCAAATATATCACGACAAATTTTGTGAAACAAGCCAAAACACTTCATCGCCGGAATGTTTCTTTTAAGCTCTAATACTTAACCGCACTGAATTAAAAAAAGAAGAACCATAGGCATCGAAAACCTCATTTTTTTAGGTTAAGTATAGTAACTGACAGGTAATCTAATAATTTCTTTATACAGTTACCTCCAAGTTTTCATTAGTAGCGCGGTGTATGTGATACAAAATCCCATATGACGTGTCCACTTCGTCGCTATACACGAATACATATCAAGAACTGGAAAAATTGCGGCCATCTGAAAGCAAATTAATATTTTCTATCTTTGGACATCTGACGAGTAATGGGAAACAAAAACAACTTTCTGAAATACATTACTTCAGTTTAAATTTGATTATCTTGAATCAACATAGTAAGCAGTGAACAGAACTTAATAAATTGTAACTGGCTACAAAAAATGTTATATATCAGTTTAACCGTGAAACTGTAAAATGTCTAGTGTTTAAAATAACATGAAGATGTATTGAATTTGAAATTAAACCAACATGCTTATCAAGGTAAATTGGGTAAAATTTGAAATATTCAGTGGCTTTATATAAAATAATTGTGACAAATATATTCTGTATCATTTATTTTACCATACCTCCATATACATCATAGCGCATCCAAGAAGAGTGATAGAGAGGAAGACGGGGCTGGCGACGCGAAACACTTTGACTCGTCTATGATGGCGCGTGTAGATGGTTAGTACTACCGTCATAACCGCACAACTCACTGATATCACTAGGAGAGATATCCTGGAAGACGTAAGAATGTAGTCAAAAATTATAAGTACATACTGAATTTTAGACGCAACTGGCCTACACCTTTTTTTTAGTTCTCAGACAAGCGTAGTAGGTGATTAACCACTACAGAGTCACTGTCTTTCTAACCCCTAACTATTCTAATATCTAACTGTTTACGGAGAAATATGTTTCTAACATTTTTGTAAATGTTTTGGAAGTGTACATTTTTATTAGTCATGTCCAATTTGTATTCGATTAATTCGTTATGTAACAATTCTTAAAATCTAAAAAATGCTTGGAAATTAAAATGCAGGATCAAGGAATGATCGGAACGCTGTAAAAATTAAAACTATTTGTTTTAGTCAAAGGAAGTATTAAAATGAAAATCATAATCTAACGCCACGAGATAAATCTACGTATATTAAACTTACCGAAACGGCCAATTATATGTCGCGAGACATGGCTCCGGTCCCCGACAAGAGTCACACCCGGGTTGACATTTCAAACATTCGTACGGCTCGTTCCAAATGTCTACGCCGTTCTCTTCAAATTCTTGATATGCAACTGAAAATTAACAAAGCAAATTTTCTGAGATTTTGTTACATGGAACAAATGACAATATATTATAGTAGTTACTAGGTAATAGTACGCAAGTCCAACAGGTCCCTATAGATGTACTCGTACGTTCGATTGAACGTACAGTACGTTCTTTGAAGTGATCGTTTTTATTCTCACTTGCACAGAATCGTGTTAAAATTATAATTAAAATAACCAATTTTTGTTGCAGAAATGTTTGTAATGTTGTGACATAAATTCCAAATTAATTTATTTTGACAAATTAAACCGATTTAATATACACCTACTACTGTGTCACAATGTGTAATAATTTAACAAAAAGCCACCTAACAATAATTATCACATATGTATACAGGTTAAAAGGGAGGAAATAAGGCTACGTTCCGGTCAGTAACGAAGGTTGTATTGTAACTTTTCAGTAAATTGTCAGTCTACGTACATTATATTAAAAGACAATCATGTAAGACCGTAACTTAGGACCTTATAACTGCCAAAGTTTACATTTGTTAGAATTTTTTGCATTGTAAATCATAGTAATTTGTTATATATAATACTTGTACTATATTAAAGTCTTTTACCTCATTTGCGGTAACAAAACTAGGCTAAACTTTAAAGTACAGAAAATCTTTGGTGGGTTAAAACCAGTAAATTAAATAATATAATCAGGCGCATAACCTGATTATTGGTATTGTCACCCTGAGTTCGATACTACAGGAAATAATAATTTTAAGTTGAAAGGGAAAACTTGATCACGTACTTATATAAATCAACTAAATTAAGAGGTAACAAGGAGTTCTGATGAACAAACTATTTCGTCATAAACATTACTTGTCCAATATTTTTTTTTTTAATCTTAAAAGTCATAATACCTTCAACGAGTGTCCCGTTGAAGCCTTCCGGATGGTGAATTGAGTAATATCCGGGTCTGCACTTACAGATGTATGAGCCACGCGCCCATCCCGAATAACGAGTGCTCGTTTCGCGGTTCGGTTTATATTCACACTGGAAATATTAACAGTAAATTATTACAAAGACGCGTGTGATCCTCAAAGGCAGAACTCGAATCCCGGCTGTGCACCAATTTTTCTTTCTATGTTCATAATTATCAGATGATCGTCTGTATGTCTTGCCCATACAGAAATAAAGTACACTTGGGTCCTACAATGTAGCATCAAACTGGTAAGTGTTTGCTTATTAGCTTCTTATTTAAACACATAACAGAATAATAAATATGCTTGAAAACTTTATGAAGACGCTATTACAATTTAATTACTAACATCATAGACTGAACAATCTTTCTACTTACCGTAGTTTTGTTTATTATGCTCTTAATGAGGTTTATATTTAGTTAAAAGTTTAGTTTTAATGATGTTTCGGCTTCCTTGCCTGCTTGGTTGTTGTAGAAAATAAGTTCTATTTTCTGTGTATAAAATTTGCAACGTCATATTTCCTTGTATTTTTTTAGAATGTCTGTTGTTATAGAACTTGTAAATAGATAAATAAAACAATACTCACATAAGTAGTTTCATTAGGGCACTTATGCGTTCCGTGGAATGAATATATTTGGTTGTCGTCATATTCGTACGCCTCGCACTGATTCACTTCCAAACTGGAGATGTCTATGTCTAATGACACTATTCCTTTAAGTCTGGAATATATTTTATATATATCTTAATACATATAAATTACGCGTCACGTTTGTCCGCTATGGACTCCTAAACTACTTAACCGATTTCAATCAAATTTGCACACCGTGTGCAGTTTGATCTAACTTTAAAGATAGGATAGCTTACATATATATATAATTCTACTGTACGTGTGTATGTCACCAAACTCGGACCGAAGCTGGACCGATTTGAATGATTTTTTTTGTATGCGTTTGGGTGGAGCCCTGGATGGTTTAGATTCACAAATCAGCCCGGCAGATGGCGCTGCAGTCGGTGCTTTCATACTTTGTTTAATATCCTAATCGCTTGAAATATCATGCAGGACAACGTCTGTGGGGTCCACTAGTATATATGTATTATTGTATCTTAATTATGCATAAATAACGATTTACGCAATAGTGTATGCCACGAAACATTGTTGTTCAGATTTTACTTGAACATTGAACAACTGCTGACACGGCTCACGTGGCTGTCCCATACTATAATAGCTGAAGGCGCACGATATACCGACAGCTCACGAGAATATTTACATAATTTTATATTAGTGTGAATAGGTTGATGTTGTTTTATAACAATATATCACATTTGAATATTGCTCTGTTTTATTCATTTCTCGCTTCCTGTCAAAGTTGCGAAGACTTCTTCAAGCCCTTAATTATCGTGGTGAGCCCGATAGCTTTGAGATAATCCCACCACATTGAACCTCTAGTACAGCTAGCTAATACACACACTACATGTACTATATAGATACTCCTAACAATTATTACATATAAATTTAAATACACATTTCACAGTCCACTGGCTGGCAAACTGTGCAATTGTTTGTGTCTATGGATAGAGATAACCGTTAACAACTTATTATTATAATATCGTTTTGAAGCACAATATATAAAGAAAATAAAAGCTATAAATTTGTCTTTATTTTAAGTTACCAAAGTTTTTCATACTCGTGACCATTAAAAGACGAGGCTACCTATTTACTGAGATTACAATCAAGATAAAGCAAGTCAGAAAAAATTAATTACCCCCTTCAATAAAACAGCTAAGTGACTAATCCATCCTTAGCTTATAACGAAAAATTAAATAACGAGAGGTAGGTAATGCACGGTAATGTGAAAGTAAAGATCTAATAAATACATACACTTTATAAGTGAAATTTTGTTGTTTAGTAATGATATAGGGAAAAATATTGGCACAAAATTATACAAGTCCTCCGGCAAAATTGTAACTAATCATTGTATGCCCGGAGCCACCTTTGTAAACATTTTAAACAAAGTTTTGTGTGGAAATTAATGTGTCTAACTCTATCTTCTTTGCCGACGAGTAGGGATTTCTACCGATACAAATTTAATGACGGGGAATAAGTGATACCTATATCATATATTCCATAATAAACATATTTTACTATGTAAGAGATGTATCTATTAAATTCTTCAACTATAGTTAAAAAAATCATAAAATAAAAGCTTAAATAATATCTTTTTCGTTATGGTTGATACGGATCTGATTACAATCAGATTAAATAATCGAAATGTTAAAAAGCATTTTTCGATAAAATTCGTTAATTCAGCCATACTTTAAGATTAGCAACAGCATTATTACTTAATGGACCCTTCTCTTAATCTTATTTGATGGCCCGTAACGAATACCCGTATACTGGGATCTTTACCTTTCTTTAAAGTAACAATTGTCTCCATCTAGGTATGAGGTAGCTTACAGGATTTTTATTTTGGCTACTGTTTTTGGCTATTGTTGTCTATTAAAATATTTACAATTTTTTTATAATTTAACCTAAGTGAGAAGTGTCCTGAACGGTCGTAGCTTTGATCCCCGGCTTTGCGCCAATAGACTTTCTGTTTATATTTAATTATTCGTTGAGTTAATTATGAGTTTTGTTCTATGCACGCAAGATTGCACTGGCTTAGCAAATTTTATATATAGTATTTAATATATCAATTTCTATTTACGCAATATAGCCCGGCCCAGGCCCAGCGGGGATGATCTATTACATTCAATTCAAAATCATTTATTCAATATCTTCGTCCTAAAAACCAATCACGCATGCAAGGTGTAGAAGGCGACCGACTTGCGGAAACACTTGCGGAAACCTGAAGCCAATAATTCTACGATAATAATATAATTCTGAATTATATTATCAGCGTAGAAAGTGATTTGGCCATGTAAACCGAGTTTGTGAATGTTGTTAATATTGATAAAAAATAACAATGGACCTAATATAGATCCTTGTGGAACACCGCATGTTACTGAGGTTTTTATATTACGAATACTACTACAATAAACCATATTAAAATAAAGTTTTCATTTATCAGAAAGCTTTAAAATTATTTTGTGCAAATACAGGCATCTGTTATTACGTCTATTACTCACCCACGTACTGTAGAAACAGGCACTGTATATGACAGCAGCCAACGTTTCGCAGAACAGCTGTAGTATGGGTAGGTCCACCACCCCTCCATTGTAGCTCCAGGGAGTGACGGCATGAACTTCGGTGATCGAAGAGAGTCACTTTCATGAGCTGACACATACCTACGAGGAAAAATATTTGCCACAATACGTATTTTTTATAAGTTAACACTGCCCGAATGGTAAGTTTTCTTTCTGTTTGAAAACGCTTCGTGAATATACGAACGTCATAGTGACATTACAGCAACTATTAATCTGAGCATTCTTAATGTTAAATGTGTGATTCGCGTAATTAAAAGACTAACCTTCCCTATTCATACAACATTCATAAGTCTAATTGCAGCGTATTCATTAAAGTACTTATATGTCGATTTCATCACAGTATAACCGTTATTTGGCAGAAAGGGAAATAGTACTTTAGTTATAATATATATTGTATATATGTATATGGTATAGTATCACTTTAGCATGAATTCTCACTGTAGCGTATTTATGCAATATGTTCGCCGTGGCTCATAAGCAAAAGTAAGAGATATATCTACCAAGGAAATTCTGAATCAGGTGGCTTCTCCAGTGATGGTGTTACACCAGCGACAGGTTCAGCTCCATACTTTTCCCAGGCGATGGAATTGTTAACCACACCATCAGGTCGTAATGCTATCGCCCGAGCACCAACCACTCTCTCTGATGCGCTTGAACCAACCACTAGCCCTCTTGAGACCGCTATAAGAACATCTGGAGGAAAAAGTTTAGTTATGTACATTAATGCGAGCATCATGCACTTAATAGAGCACTCATCAATAACATTTATTAGATTATAAAACTCTTCTAATTACTTAAGTGCTGTTAGTAACGTTGATACATTATTATAATTTTAGAATCATACATAATTGCATAAAGATTTTTAACATTCAGACATTTATAAGTCAAAATGGGGTCTCTTAATAGACGTAAGATTATAAGAGACTTCTATTTTTTTGTGAGTTTTAAAAATATATTTTCAGAATAACTTATTTCAGACGATTAAATTATTGTTAAATATCTTTTATTATCTATACTAATTAATTAATTAATACTTATATTATAAAGAGGAAAAATTTAATGGTTTGCTTGTATGATTGCATTGAAAAGGCTCTAAAACGGGACTGATTTGATAATTTCTTTCACCACGTTTAACGTAGGGTTCTAATTATTGTGAAACTTTTATAAAAGAAATGAAATAACATAATAGAGTATTTTTAAAAAGGTTATCGTTCGTTATCAATTACGTTAGTGTTACCCAAGGTTTGACAATAGAGCAAAGTGATATACTACAGTTTTATAGAAGACATTAATATCGTCAACAAGGTCCGCGATACTATATGTCAAAAAAATTGTTTCCGAGAAAAGATTCGTGCTACGGCCGGAATTAAATGGAAGAGCACAGCTAGTGAAGAATATGTATCTCTTTATTTTGGATAGTAAATATTGTACGAAATTATATTTTGTAAAACTTCCATACATCATTTTAGTATAAAATAAACAAGTAAGTAAAGCATTAATCGCACACTGAAAAGATAACCAAGCCAAGTTCCACCCTCTTTCCCGAGGTCAAATGGAAACTGATATTTGCGGGATAATTGCAACAATTTCTCAGTAATTTATTCCATATAAAACAAAACATAATATTGCTTTCATTAAAATAATTCATTATTTTAGACGAGATTAAATAATTGTTAAGACTATTTTAATAAAATGTAAATTGTTTATCTTAATTTAAATGTAACCGTAACGGATATAAATGCGATTTTTGAAGTTATACTTCTTTAGGCGCGTTATGAAATTTAGCAATGCTTTTTCACAAAGACCTATTGTTACTTAATTAAAGGTTATGAAACATACCTAGTTATTAAATTGAATGAATAATATAATAAATTATAATAATTATTATTATTAATATTAATTAATAATTGAATAATATACTAAATATTATTAACGTTGAATATTTATTATTAATTATTTTATAACTTCTTACGCGCGTACATAAGTACACGCACCCTTTTTTCCATTATTTTCACTCGACATTCCAATCGTTCTTCATAGTAATGCTATATTGCTAACGACTGCTGTAAGTACTCCCGGGTTGAGTGTAAATAATGTGCTATATTCATGTTTATGGTTTTAAAGACATGTTGAATTTATATCAATGGCAGATACACTGTATCTGATTTAATAAAAAACTATAGACACCTTTTATTATTTTCATAATGATGCTCTCTTGTATTAACACAATAAATCAACAGCATAGCGTTGAAATACTCATATACTTCTATATTTGTAACCGAACGTCGCCTGAAAATCGCTGTAAGCGGAAGTTCAATAAACAGGAAATGAAAATGAGCTTCCGCTATGTATCTTTGAAGGCACGTACGATTAGCTTACACATTAGCTTACGTATAAGCATAAGAATTATGGAAGGAATTTTACTATGTACAATATACGTTGAATTGTTCTTCCTTTACGTATTATTTGAGCCAGTTTCGGCTTCCTTCTAATGTTTTATTCTAAATGTAAGCCAAAACATCATGCTTGGCCAAAGGGGTACACAGGTACAATTTAAATAGAAAATAATCTGAAACTATCACGTCAGTGGGCTGTTAAATATGAATGAATCAAAAAACTGAATGAATTTAAAGTATATACCATCGTGCATCCGAACTTTGTAACTTCAATAAGCGATACCGATAACGACGCTTTTGTAAGTTTGATGTAGTTTTGTCAGTATGAGTAGCGCTGATGTGACCGCGCAGGAACAAAAACTCATTAGGATAGGGGTCGCGTCCGTATTACTATTACAGGGTTAGGGCCCTGGACAACACTATAATAATATCATTCGTTCACAAGACATACATTTAAATACATACTTGAAGTCATTATTTGTCCATACACACCCTTTTTCTTTAGAAAAAAATCAAATCTGCTAAAAGGGATTTTACTGTAGTGAGAGACAAATAAGTGCTATAATAATACTGCTTTACTCTTAAATACTCTCATATGTATACATTTTCTCACTTTATTATATTTTAAGTGTGTACGGCTGTGAAGGCATCAAAACTAAAGACACGGACGGTGATTGCAGTGTAGTGGACGGTGTAGTGTTGACACTAATTCCGCCCAGTTTTAATAAATTCTCTGTTGGCACGAAACTAAATTAAGGCGTCTCCTTTAATGTAATCTATAGCATGCCTTCATAGATTTTCATCTATAGCATTTCTAGCATCTTTGAGTTCCAACACACGCTCAATTAAAGAATTTACACTAAATTTACCATCGCCGGAAAAATAATCCCCCCATTGACTAATTAGAACAAGTTTATTTTTACAAATTGTATTATAATCTTCACGCGACGTAGAATTTAAAGGCAAGTTAACAAACTTGTCAGAAAGGTGACCTTCCTTAAATATATCGTGTCCACAACCAACCCGTTTTTGTTGATTTAATAATTTATTTTATTTAAAGGAAAAAAAATTACCGGATTGAAGTTATGTATTTATGTATTATAAATTTACAATTAAAAATTTAAATTTTATAATACATATATACATTTATTACTACATTACTTTAAATGTGTAAAAGTTATGTCAATAAAAGAGAATACTAATTTATTTTATATTTTTTAGTGTAGTTTTATGTTCACCAATTGATGTACTTGCACCATCGTTATCACTGTCGTTAAAAAAAATTAACTATCCTTACCAATATGCTAATATGTAAAAGTTCTTTCATATCAGAAGTTATGTTATCATAATGCTCCATATCACCTATTATGCAAAACAACACATATAAAACATAAAAAATTCAAACAACAAGTTTTCGGGCACGTATTCAAGTAATGTTTTCGTTAAAATGTTTTTTGTATAGTTGTCTTAAAATGAATTATGAAAATAATGGATATATGTCAAAACGGGAAGTGTTTATTTTGACTCAATAGTCCGTCCTATAATTAAAAAGTTAGACAATTTACCAGCGGTTTCCATGCCAAGTTGTTGTAAGATATTCGCAGCGAGATCGGCCCGGGCTCTCGTAGCGTCCCACCTCGTAGCGTGTAACGGCGCTCGTAACCGTCCGTAGTGGTGTGTCACACATAGAGCGCCCGTAGCACCCGTCGCTACAGCGTGGACGAGGCGTAGCGATGATTCTAATTCCTCCTATGTAAAATATTGGATATATTTTTCATGTTATTTGTTTAATAAAAGAGAACAGAAAATTACTTATCATTTTTCTTAACGTATAATTTGTCAAGCTAGTGCACATACAAATTTAATACATATATTAAAAGTCGTGGACTAAACATGTGAATTCTAGTTCACGTTGCTTTCTGATAATGATCACTTTAAGTCTCACTGTCTAGACTGCAAATACTTATGACCGTAGTAAATTCAATAATACATCGTAACGAAGTCTTCACAGGTGGTAATATCTAAATGTTCTCGCCGTGATAGCATAATGTAATTGTCGGGATAAAGGAATTCAAAATGGATACCTCCTTAAACAAATTATAATAATGAGATTTTAAACGGCACACGCTTAAGAGAAACGCGAGTGTTAAGTATAAAACTGTTATATTGTATGCATTAAAAAATCTAGTATATTTCAGTTTTAAAATTTTTGCCAGTTTTTTTGTCTAGTCTATGTTATGACGGTGAGAGCAGTGTTGGCCTAGTGGCTTCAGCGGGCGACTCTCATACCTGAGGTCGTAGGTTCGATCCTTGGCTGTGCACCAATGCACTTTCTTTCTATATGCGCATTTAACATTCGCTCGAACGGTGAAAGAAAACATCGTGAGGAAACCGACATGTCTTAGACCCAAAAAGTCGACGGCGTGTGTCAAGCACTGGAGGCCGATCACCTACTTGCCTATTAGATTTAAAAATGATCATGAAACAGATTCAGAAATATGAGGTCAAGACCTACAGAGGTTGTAGCGCCACTGATTTATTTTGATTTTTTATGTAATGACGGTGTTTTGTTTTAGCTAAGTTACGTTCTAAGTCAGGATATTGGTGCTTGAACAACCCCGTGCCTTGAATTGGCTCGAAAAGTTTTTCGTTCTTACATCTGTTCGCAGTGAAGTCTTGTCAGACATCATATCGTACTATATCCGCTAATCGGCCTGAAGAACATTATATTAACAGTATCATATACGTACAATCACGCGCTGGAATCACGTAGACTTTAGCCGACGTATTCAGAATTTTTAGAAACTGAAGTCAATTGAGAAATGTGTAATAAATAATTTTAGCGTTACTTTTAACATTTATAGCATAACGTAAAGTATCTTTAAAGTGTGGGTATTAAAATATAAGTTTTCTATTTTGCACCTAAATTAATTCGCAAATTGATACAGTATTACGTAATTGAGTTATTGGCTAATTATTATTGACGTGAGTTCATTGAAGCAATAGGAGAAGCACATTGTACAATGTAGCTGACAGTGGCATATCTATAATGCAGTTCTAATTGATTAGGTTTCTGACTGAACTGTAATATCGACGATATTGTACGAGGAATTTCATAACGGAAATAGATAATGCTCAATGATAACACGAGATACGACATATCTGCTTCTTATATTTCTTAATCTGCCTATACCTGAAGCCATGTTTTATAACCAAAACCTCCTCGTAATTAATAAGGTTCACGTGTTATGTATAATTTGTTTTATAAATACTCATTATTCAAATGGAAGAGATGATTATGACACAACGTATCCTAGTGTAGTTGAACTATTATTATTATTATTATAACATATGCATGCATAAAATTTCCACTTCAGAGATCAAAACAAGCCACGAATATAAAATAAAAAAATAATAATTTCGTAAAACTCTACCTACTGTTTCCGCATTGCACCTGTATTTGAAACAATGTTTGTTACTTAATTTAAAAAACAATATCCAAATATTTGAATTTTAATTGTATTCTAAATATACATTTCCAATTTAAATTTAAGTTTGCAAAAAGTCAAACAATATTCTTAATTCAAAATTGTCACAAAATGCCAGCTATTGTGTAGACGTACTGGCATTCCAAATTTAAATTACGTGTATATGTAGTGTCTCAGTAATGTAGGTTTTTAAAGGACCGTGCGGTCACTTGGCAAACAGGTGGCTCATTTTATTCACATCCAGTCGCCTGATGAAAAATACAACATTTTTTTAATTCACTTTATTGAACACTTTATTGAGTTTTTTTTTCTAAATTTTTTCAAACTTAGCTAATTTATTTAAAAAATACTAAGCAATAACATTGGTGGACAGACCTTAAATCTTACAAACATCGCCCTTTTGTATTAGTAAAGATAATATATTTTTAACACTGGTTTAAGAATAACGGTTCACCACAATCTAACAGTAATTCGTTATGTCACGCCCGGAAGGCAGTAATGGCCAAAACGCGCACATACTAACATAAAGATAAAATATTGTGTGAAAGTCTAAAATACTAGAACATTTTAAATATGATACGAATTAATTTTTATAAAATATGCAACCGGCTTCACCCGATCAATAATTGACATATGTCTTATCATGTTATATCTCCAAAACTACTGGAGGGATTAAGAAACTTTTGACAACGTAACTGTTCTCACAGTTGGAATATAAACGATTTTAATTGAAAAGGACCATCTGGATATGACTTTTAGTTTCTAAGAACTTCGTGAACATACATACATACACTTAAAACAATTACTTTAAATCTAATTCCACGAATATGACATATATGTGGGACAAATTAATGCTTCTTTGCAATCGTTAAACGGTGTTAATATAAAAACTAGTTTACTAGGTTAAAATACATTTACTTATAAATTAAACAATAATAAAATGCCAACTTTACAACACCAAAAAGAATGTTTTATTTTAATGACATTATAATCAAATTTATTCTAGTTGAAAATATCTTCATATTTATCTTGAACTTTAATTTTGTCCCGACTTCTCTTTCTAAAGCTTTGAAGATGTGATATACTTAATTTACATTTTTAGAAGTCCATAGTGCTTATTTATGTACTTGAACAAAGAGGAAATTTCAATGTTGTATTTCAAAGTACATTTTATTCACGTACCGACATTCGGAGCATTAAACGCGTGGGAGGAATATCGAAATTCCGTCCGAATGCCAAACTATCATTCATAGATGGAAAATCCGTAAATACAGGTTCATAATACGAAGCCAACTATATTTCTCACTGATATAATATTATGAAAAACTATTGTGTTCTGGAAATATTGGAAGTTGTAAACGCCCACGTAGAATTTTTGTACCTTTTCTAAAAGACGAACGTCTGTATAGAAACCTGCCATTTCTAAAGATTATCTCATTATATGGAAATTTTTGACTACTTCATGTGATGCGTAGGTTCGATTATCTATATTGAAATCTATTCATAGTAGCATTGATTGTAGCTAGGGAGCCCAAGAGGGGATTTCGGAATATACTCCAGCGTGGCAGATTAATATACAAAATACCTCTACCAAATATGAGCTCCATATAGATGGCCGCTCGTGAAGGGTAAAGGATCAGATTAGTAAAAAAAGTTAATAATCAGACTTTCTCGAGCGCATCAGATTAAGGTAGGCTAAGTTAGTTACATGCTAAGAAGTGTATATTTCACTTATCTGACAATTTGGAAGTAACGTAAAGAAAGGGGAGGGCTGCAAATATGCAAAAAAAAGTCATCTCGACATAGGTCTCTATTACGCTCGAGTAAATCCCTATTTAGCACCGTGGGCTCACCGAGTATTGTACTATTTTTTACTTTAGCATTAATTATTAACAATTCCATCCCCTCTATCTCGACGCCTAATGTTCCACAACGCAGTTCTTTTTAAGGCACTTTCTCCCGCGCACCACCTCTTGTGGAACAAGCTGAAGGTAAAGCGCCTGAAATAGAGCAAGAAATGGTCGGCAACTCACTCACTAGCCCTCGGCGTTGCAGGGGCCTTAGTCAAGATGCCTAAACAGTAGTGTATGTAGAAAGTCGAAAACTTAATTTGTATGGAAATGACAGTTCGTGTCGAAAAGTTTTCATACAAATTTAGTTTTTGACGTTCTACATACACTACTGTTAAGGCATCTTGACTAAGGCCCCAGGTGTGGACGGCGTTAAAAGCGTGCTCGTTTTCGTCCCATAAAAAAAGCAATAGAAATTGACATGATTTTTTATATATAATAATAATATATTTTTATTTTTTTATATATAATTATATATTAACATTCGAAATTCTTAAGAATTAGATGGAAAGAATATAATTGTAGCCTTAGTAAACAATGTTTGACATTCTTTCTTGCTGTTAGCGTACTGAGTCAGCTGCATAAAGTTTTCCTTTTGCGTAACAACGAGGTTACATGAATATTGACCTCAAAACTCTTTATGAACCCTAGGTTCGTTAATCTCTTTGAAAGAACTTCCCAACAGCTCGAGTCTTACGGCAAAAGTATGAAAAATGAAAAAAAGCTTTTTCAAGTTCGTCACAGCGATGTCCATTGAAGACTTTCTGTTATCGAGTAATCAAAAGATTTATTGCAATCTATTCTGAATCAACGGAAGAATATGCATTTTATAAATCATTTTTTTGTTAATCGTTGGCAAGGGAACTTAATTCAAACCCTTTGAAGCCTGAAGCGTTGAAATAAATGGAATCCGGTTTATTCTATTACGGTGGTTTTGCGGTCGACTAAGAATCTGTTAACTCACTATTATAGCTCCCGAGGGAATGGCATAATGATGAAACGGGATTTTTGAGCGGGCTGTGTTAAGCAACAGACGTAAACATTTTAGACGCAAATTCTAAACATTTATACACTTTTTGTGAGAGATTTTATATTTTACTATCTGACTGTATGTGATGATGTTAGATAATATTTAAGTACTATGATCTCTTTAGGCTTTCAAGTACGTGTACTTAACATTGTAAGTGAGTATGTATATCCACTGTGTTCTCGGAAACTAAAAGTAATATCGAGATGATCCTGATTTTTTTGGAATAAACCTATGTTATATCAACTATGTTTTGATGCATATGTCATCAAAATCAGTTCATTAATTTTGGTGATGTGAAAATCGACACATTTTTTCTCTTTTCTATTGACAGGTATTTGAAATGGATTTTTTTTATTACTATTAATATGTTAAAATTATATTGAATAAAATATTTAAAAAGAGAACTTCATAAAACAACCGATGAAGTTTATGAATAGCGTTGAATATTCTATAAATCTTTCATTATTGATATCCTCTTTACCTTGTATGCTGTGGCGTTGTACGCGTTCGCTGGCAGCGACAATAGAGCGATGGGCAGCAGAAGGGCACTGCTCACGCGCCCTGGCCCTCTCATCTCCCCGTAACATTCGAAACGCTGGAACAATGTAATTTAATTGTAATAATGAAAGCTATTGGAGTCGATTCAGTCATGAATGTCAGTAACCGAACTATCTATGTTAACCACTGATGAGCTGCCCGCTCTTTGTAGATTTTTTGACTACACCAAAGCCACCAGTTCTTGACGAATCCGATCCTGCTAGGCATCACCGTTTAGGTAGACAGTTAAAAGTTTTTATTAATCTTCAGACTTGCCTATCATTTCCTTCAACTCGAATGAAGCAAATAGTATTTTTATTAATTTCAATAGATTTTTTCATACGCTGAAGAAAAATATCGTCTGGTAACCAACACTTCTTAAACCGAAATATTGATATTTGATGGCGTGTGTTCAGACTCACGGACAGACATACAGGCTAACTAATTGTCTGTAAAGAAAAAAGGATTCGGACCGCAGTTACCGAAAAGTAAGCTTCTTGCTTATTATTCGGAGAAAATTATATGTACATAAGTGTGTTTGTTTATCTTCCGAAATCTTTCGAATTTGTATTTGTGTATGTTTGTAACGAGTAAACTCAGTCAAAGACATTAAAAATTCTTTCACTATTAGAATTAAGAATAAGAGAATATCCCCAAATGGAGACTTTATAATTATCTTATATATTAATCCCTTATATATTTAAGGGTAGTCCACCCCTAATTTTTTTTTTTTTAATTTTTAGATAATTTTTTTTTATTTCTTTTTATGATACAACATTAAAAAATACATACAACCCCTAATTTTCACCCCTCTACGTCCAACCCCTATTTTTTATTATAAATGATATACATGGCAAAACGACGTTTGCCGGATCAGCTAGTAAGAATATAAAATACATGCAATTTTTCATCACAAACAGTATTACAAATATAATAGTAAAAGAAATTCATATCTGCAAACACTTGTATCGATTCACTGAAAACTTTAATCTAAAGATGTCTTCGAAATTCCGATATTTGTACGTGCCAAGTTTCTTCGCAACTTTAATATACGAAGACAGTGATTCATAAATATCGACGTTTCAAAGTATACACTTAACTGGGATTAAGGAATTTTACATTTCGCCTTAATTACCGTGAAACGATATAAATTAGGAATTATGAAACCACGCTTTCATAGATTTAGATAGATTAAGATACATAGAACTAAAAAATAACGCTCGTTATACTTATAATTGATGTTCAAAGAAGCGGACATAATTTACTTTAGACTCAAGTTACAAAGTAGTTTACGTTATCTAAGGTTACATTCACTCAACGAAGGTCTATCACGTTCAAGTTCCTTTTGAAAACTGTTTTTGTAGTTTTGAAATTTAAAATGGTCGCCCATTTTCTGTTTAGCTTGTTTAATATTATGTGCAGTAGAAAAAGTTAAGATGATGAAAAATGTGAATCTCATATTTAATTAGAACCGTTAATATTGTACGCACGTATCATTATCATCAGTTTCACTCGACAAACATACAACTCGGGTACAGTATCGGGTGCAGTATAATAACGCATCTAGGGTGTTGCTGGGGTTGCCTCGCTTCTGCAGCGCATCAGGAATGTTGCAGAGGCGCGGGTGGATTGCTTTTTCGCCACTATGCGAAAGCGGTGCGCGTCTTTGGTGCGCCGGGTGCGGGGCAGCTCCAGTAACATCTTTCGGATGATAGTCGAGAGAATGGAGTGCCCCTATTTACGACACTGCTCTGACATCTCCGCAGGGCTTCGTACCTAATAGTTTTTGTTTAACTACTTTTTTCTTATTTTTACTAATTCTACTAATTTTGATCTTAAGAAACTATTGTTACTAAATTACTAATCAATCAATGGACTGTATTTGTCGGATGAATAAAATTATTATTATTATTATACGCAACTGATGCATCTATTGACATTTTATGACATCCAGCATTCAAGGTATTCGGAGCCTCAAACAAGTAAGGGTGCAAGCTCTCTGGAAAGGTGATCTTCGAATTTGGAGCTTCGAAGCACACGTATACTTATATGGTCAAACATTGTAATCCATCCATAAATTTGTCACCATGAGAGTGTTATAGTTTTTTTTATGGCAATTTCTAATGACTTATAAAGCTTATACGTATCAGCTGAACCTGAATGCTTTCATAAAATGCAATAACTTCGAACGGCACACACCATACAATATTTCAACAGCTGTTGCTTAAATAGTTTTCTAGAATTTGCAATTTAAGCCAATGCTTGCTTACACAAACTGATTTTTAAATTATATTTATTAACTCGCTCGTTTATGTCAAGGAAAATGTTCAGCGAAAACGTTAATATTGAATGCAACAGTTTAATCTAGTTTATGCCTGAATAAACGAAGTTTACGTAAACCCGGAACAGCAGCCTAACCCCATAACTTGAATAGCGATTCCAATTTAAATCTTGAGTTTTCCAGCAACAAAAAAATTGAAAATTGTAATTGGAATCGGAACTGACAATGTTTCTGTTTTTTTATTGTAGCCTTATAGCTGTCGTCTAGTTTGTAAAAAACATTGGCTCTTCAAGAAACATTAAATTAAATCTTACACTAAACTATAAAAATAATATCTCTAAGGCTTTCGTCGTAATTCTTAATTTATGTTCGGCGATTCAGAGATGTATCATGTACGAATAGCTTGTTTCATTCTATTTATAACAATAGTCCAGTGGCGATAATAACCCTTTATGCGGTACCTTAGTGCAGACACATTTATTTCAATGATATTTTCTTTTTTATTTATCAACTTTCTGTGCCTCCGTGTCGATTTTTGGGTCTAGATATGCCAACTTACATTGTTTTCGTTCACCATTTATTAATTGCGCATAGAAATCTATCTCAGCTAAGACTAATATGTTAAAACAATGAATATACACCGATATAATTTGTTCAATATAAAACTCGCTGGTGCAATTTATACTGGTCACGCCCTTCCTTATGTCATACAATATTTCTTAAAGAAATTAGCAATGTTTGTATATGAAGTCATCAACTCTAACCACAAGGTCGACCAATAAGATATTCTTTATTTAATTTAATTAATTTGTAGTATCTACATCTTTCTTTCACTTACTAATTAATTTTATTAAAAATTTTGGTTATAATCTTTTTGTTACTTGTTACTTTAATGAATTCTCTGAATGAGTTTACTAATCCCAAAACAGCCAGTCCGTCTTGCAGGAGAATTCAATACGAATAAATACTATAAGATTGTCATACAATATAAACCCGAAGCAACTTTGACAAAGCCTGAACACTCACAAACAAGTATAGAACCTTTTAACTGAAGAGGTTTTACTTCAATTACCTTAATGCGTCGTATTCAAATGCGTCCCTTTCTAACCCGCAGGATTTCATATAATCAGAAGTAGTGTTATCAACGTGTCTTTGGGATGTCTTCTAACACAATATTCTAAAATATACAGACAAAACTTAGTGTTGTCCTAGTAACTTATGCGAGAGCATGAAATGTGAATCACAGCGTTGCACCGATGGAAAGTTCTTTCTATGTTCCTACGGTGAAGTTAAACATCGTGAGGATACCGACGAGTCTCAAACTCAAAAATCGAATTTATGTGCCAGACAGAAGGCTGATTGATGTTCATGACTATAAAATATAATTACGGACGTTGATGCAGAATGCGAAATTTCACCCGTATCACCTCGACGTCCGTTGTTACATCACCGAGCGTTTTAAGGCAGTTTTTGCTCCACCACCATTGTATGGAACCAGCTGTCCACTGAAGTATTTCCGAACCAATTCAGCTTAGGTTCCTTCAAGAAATGAGCGTATCAGTTCTTAAAAGGCCAGCAAGGAGCCTTTTGGAAATGTGAGTGTTGTTTATATGATATGATATATTTAAAAAAAAATGTCTGTATCACCATTAGATCATTATTGATAGTCACGAATTCATCCCTAATCACCCATTGAGTAGACATATTCCTGAATCTATTATATTAATACTTTTAAATTTATCTGTTGAAATAATAAACGTTCTAGAACCCCAAAATGTTCCTATCTTTGGCATTTTTAATTTGGCCCGTATATTCGTTTATCAGACCGTCAGTTCATATTAGCTCCCGACAAACATATCTATAAGCCTTTATCAAAGTTCGTTGGAACCGCTTCAAACGCTATTCAAACTTCAACAGTACGGTTAATGTGCAATTTAATAACTTGATTTTAACTTTGTTTAGACATTCCGATAGGAGTACGCGGAACTTGAACGATATTACTTACGATTGGAATTATACATTCACTGATTAGTTTGAAATTCAAAACAGTATTCGTTAGAAGATTTATTGCATAGTAGGCACTACTTGTTCATAACCGTTTTAACATAAATTGCCTTTTTTATAAAAGAGGTTTTCTGGGGTAATCCATTTAGGATTATTGGGAATTTATTCATTTTAGGTTTATATTGAGGTGAAAACCTAACCTAGTTTTTTGTTTTTAAATGTTATATATGCTATATGTAGCGGTGCAAGAGTAGAGAGGTGTAACAACGGCATTTCGATTGATTGTGATATTACATGTGTAGTCAAAATCAAATGCAATGATATTTTATCATGGGTCATTCGTTTCTTTGTATTTCTGGCGTTATAGAAACTTATCGTAATATTAAAAAAAAACATTAAATTGGTATTAACAACAATTAAAGTCGATTAATTACGACTTTTAAATTGTGTATAACACTTCGTTTCAACATAAGTAGATAATTTATATAATATAAATTGGGTTTATATCACAGTCACTCTAACGCTTTTTTTGTAAATAGCACCGTGACCAACTTAGTTCTTAGTATATAGTCATTATTATAAATATCAAATCATGTCATTGTTCATTTATACAATATATAATTAAATAATATTTTTTTGTGTGTACAACAAACAAAAAAAAACCACATTCAATTCCTCGATGAAATCTAAGATACATCAGAGTAGTAATGGAAGTCTTAGAAATCTAAGCCGAAAATAGTGATTGTTTATAC